TTTAAAAATGCCTTTTTTTCTTAAATACAAGCCTGATTATTAAATGTGGAATGGAATCTCCAGATTGACAGTGAGGGAATTGAATTTGACCCTACTTCTACTTCTAAAATTAAAGTAAGATGATAGCTCAAACAGTATAAAACTACAGGTGATTTTCAAAATCCATAGATCTTGTAGATACTCTCTTAGGATATGAGACTTGTGTTGGCCTAGAATTTAGTTGCTTATCCTGTTTGTCCCATTTCATTAATTATTGTTAACTTTTACTCTATCAGTAAGTTAAGGTGAACATTTCAATTTACATGAAAAACTTATTATTTCCTATACATTTGTGTCTCTGTGCCAGTAACAAAAAGAACCAGTACTTGAGAAGAGAGTACAATAAAATGTGTTCACATAAACTTTTTGCTTAATAAAGTAGACCTCAGGAGTTAAGGGAAGTTATTCATAGGAAGTGCAGTGCTGCCTAACATTTATTAACTCAGTCTTTGTTAAATGAAAGCAGTGTTACTTTAAAGACAGAATAAATCAACTTCCTGTATCCTCCTGATTTTCAGTTCAGTTCTATGACAACCTTCTAATATCTAGTATGTACAGATCATGGGATAGCCCTCAGGAAAATGATGACATGATTTTTCACAGACCCATAGAGAAATAGAATATGAATATATAGAGTACTATACATACTGCACAGAATAGAAAGAAGGTTATATTGAAGAGTTCAGGGAAAGACTTCATAGCAATAATGACTCAGGGGCAGAAATTTTAACAAAACCTCATCAAGTGGACCCAAAGAGAAGGCTGGCTGAGGAGATGTAATGAAGCCCTAGAAGAGTAGAGCAGCTGTGTGAGTATGAGTACTTGATATAGCTACCCCGCAGTCTGGCATATGGAGCCCCAGAGTCTACAGTGGGAGAAAGGGCCTGAAAACGAGTTTTAGTTGCCATTTATATGGCTTTGGATTTAGTTTTCAATTGATGGAGACATTGAAGATTTTTGAGCAGGTCTTTTCATGATCGGATTTCCGTTTTGAAAATATTTTTGTGATTGGCTTTTAGAGAATGATACAGTGGGAGCAAAACACTATGATAGTTAAAAGGGTTATGCAACACTTTAAGTGACATGATGCATTTTCTGGTGTAAAATTTTCTATTGATTCATAATTATGCTGTACCATTTAAAAGTGTCAGCAAATTGAAAATATTTTTAGTATTCAGTGGAATTAACTCATTGCTATTTTTGTAGTTTGAAATTAGTAAGTTAATAGCAATGAAGAGTTGAAAGAAGGTTGGTATTTTGTCAGTGAAATTGAACAAGTAGGCTTCTTACAAAAGTCTCATAGTTACAATGAGCTATATAATATGAAATGTAGAATTAAAATTTGAAAAATGAATTTATATATACATCAATTTATTTGTAGAGATTTTGTATATATGAAAATAACTGATATAATGGATATTTAAGTTGCATTTGAGACTTGAATATCATAATTAAGAATTTACATTAATCCAAGTCTTGGACCAAATTATATACATATATATATTATATTTTGAAGTAGAAAGTTAAATCCCAAACCAAGAAAGAATAAGCATATTTATGTGAGATAATTAAACAGACACATATTCATATAAAATTGTTACTTTGCAAAAAACTTGTATTTAAAAGATCATTGTAGCTCATAATTGCAAAAGCACATTAAAAATAGCTTTAAATGGTTTCCTCAATGATATAGCATCAGTAGCTTTCTACCAAAGCTGATTTTGATGTATCGATCTTTAGTTCTTTGTCATTATGACTAGAAACAAAAGTCAGAGTTAAAGAAATAAGAACATCTGTAACATTGTAGAGACATTAAAATATTAGATTGCTCTATCTTTGAAATTTTTTGTAAGGTTTTGTTTCTGTTAAGCATGTATGGTAGGGTAATATGCAAATACTACCAAGCAAACTAATGTTTTTTAGTTTATAAAACTACAGCCAAATGATAGGCTAATGGATGATTTTTATTAGGCTTAATCTGCAACTCAAACTAGGAAATAGATTTGTTCCTTAGAGTATGTCAGAGGAGACAGTATTAAGATACGATTGTTAGTGTGTGTTATTGTAGACAATACTTTAGTCTTAAGATTTTGTTCAGTTGTTAGCTCTTGTTTATTTGTATAGAAGAGTTTAGAAAGTACAACTGTTTAGCAGAATATATGTCTTCATCTTTTTTTGTATGATAATGGGATGCACTACGTTGAGGAATTTTTAAAAGAAATATTATTACTTCATACTCAGTGGGTTTTGTTAAGGGAATCATTGGTGACATGTCTCAAAGCAGACATATTTTCATGCCTGTTTAATTATAATTCCAGTTATTTTAACAACTGGGGTTTCCCTGATGAATCATTAAGATAAGTGAGTGGGCTGGAAGGCGATGCTAACTTTTCTCAATATTGCCTTATATTACTCTTTTGGTAACTAGCTGCTTTTAAAATATGGCCTGAGTATCAAAGGTGCCCTGTGTCTTTTATATACATTTTTCTAATTTGAGGAGGGGAAGGGAAATAACAAAATGCTGAAACAAATTTTCAGGTTGACCCATTTCACTGTGTTGAAAATGAACTTTACAACTTAGGGGTAGAGGGAGGAGTTGAGGAGGTGGGGAGGGAAGGGATAAAAGGGAAAAACAAAGGAGGGGGTAACAATGCTCAATAGGAAATGTACTCATTACCTTACTCATGTAACTGTAACACCTCTGTACAATACATGCCATAGCAAATGATATCTTTGTTATTGGGAAAAAAAATATGGTCTTTGTATGTTGGAGTCAATGGGTGGAGGTGCAGAAGAGAAGGATGAAAAAGGGTCAGTCAGATAATACCAGGTAAAACTCAAATGACTTGTTAGAAAGGCCTACTCAAGGGCTGGGAAGGTGGCTCAGTAGTAGAGCGCTTTCCTTGCATGCCTGAGGCCCTGGGTTCTATTCCTCAGCACCACAGAAGCAAAAAGAAAAAAGCTGGAAGTGGTGCTGTGGCTCAAGTGGTAGAGCGCTAGCCTTGAGCTAAAGAGCTGAGGGACAGTACCCAGGCCTAGAGTTCAGGCCCCATGACCAGACCCCCCTCCCCCCCCCCCCCCAAAAAAAAAGAAAGGCCTACTCAAAATTCACTTTTCCCAACTTTAAGTCATCTAGGTTTTAAGATCATTTTTCTCAGTCAGTCTCAACTCTAAAAATACTGTATGCAGGTAAATAGAAAACTTATTTTCAGTAATTGAAAGTTTAAGGCATCAGGTATATTGAGATTTTTCTGTGAGATTAGTCTGATATGTGTTGGATTAAAATTTAAAATCATTATTACTGAAACAGTTAAGTTCCTGTAACTAATAGCAAAAGGCATATATTGACTATATTAGCACAAGAGTTCCTGTGTTTAAATTATTATTGGTATTTTGTTGGAAAATTATTTGAATACCATAGTTAAATGAGTTGACATTAAATATAAAAATTAATTATGCATTTCTGTTAAAAGGGTTTTTTAAAATTGTCATATATCATGTATACTTAGCATATGTTTTTCAACCAATCAGTAAATGGAACACTGTAGAATTCCTGTGTTCTGTTAAAATATTTTTTTCAATTGCCACAGAAAGAGTAGATGCAAGAGGAGGTAGACAAAAATATAGTTCACCTTGAAACTGATCATGGCTCAGGGAATAAAGAAATCGGGTCAAGCCTAAAATAAATTCAGGTATAATGACAAAGTATTTTAATAACATTTCAAAAATATTCACAGAATTGGTTTCAGGCTACTTTTGTTCTCTCTTACCAACATTATTAATTTTTAATTGAGATGATGCTAATGGCACTTTTTCATTTTGGTCAAAATGTTTTTATTTATATAATACTATTCTGATTTTTTTCATTCTATCCTTTTGTACTCCTATTAATTGTAAATATAAACTTTTGTAAGGTAGGTGATTCACAAATAGATCTGTTAGCCCTTTGATGATCCTTAGAAATAGAATTTGAAAAGATATAAAATTTCTATGTCACAGTACCATTTTGATTCATTTTATATTGCCAGATTTAATGGCTAGCACTTAACTATGTATCATTAAATCATAGTATTGATAATGAATTAAACTTTCATGAAATTTTAATAGTATAGTAGACTGTCCGTTTATCTGCTATCCTTTGAGAATAAAATGTGCTGAAGAAATGAGTTTTCTTTAACTGACTATGGAGCTTACTGGTTTAAGCAGAAAAACCTAAAAGTCACTAAATTGTATCTGAACATTTTATGTTCTTTAAGGTATTCTTAGTGCCATGTAGTTAAACCATGGTGTTTCTGCTTGGTATTTATTGTACAACCTATTATATATATTTATATATATATGTGTATTTAAATATCTATACATATATATGTATAGATATTTAAATGGCACACTTCTGATTCTGATAAGTTACTTGATTTCCAGTTGATGGTAGTACTTGTGACAAAGCTTTAACCAAGTCATAAACTCAGGCACCTATGATGTATGATCCTATGTATGCTTATCAATATCTTTTGTCACACAAGTAGCCATAGGCTCATTCCCTCAAGGAGACCTTGTCTTTGCTTTAGAGTTTTCCCTTTTAACATGAAAATACTATTACTGGTCCTTCCAAGCACTTTTTCCTTGCTTACCATTGTTAGTGATTTAAAAATGTTTGTATTCATTCTGCATACTTGTAAGGCTCTTGTGTTATCAGGACATCTGTCTGCAGTTTTCTCTAGTATTGAAAGCAAATAGTGCTCTGCCTTTTCATTTTACACTGTTAAAGCAAAGTGATTTTTACAACCTCCTGCCTATTTATTTCAACCAGTGTCTTCTGAAATAGAATTCAAGCACAGTGAAAGTATTTGAACTATTTATTCCATAAGTATGTCATAATGACATTTGGTTTGAATCTTACATTGAAACCTCAGCGCCTTGCACCTTTTGCTTACATCTAATGAGAGTCATCTTTGTTCCAGGTCATGCTTCAATAAGACTACGGGAAAGAACACATTTTCTTTTGGCACAAAAGTTCAGTAGAAGTAAGTGGGGAACTGCCAGGATATGTCTGTCTCCACAAAACAAGCAGAACAAATTTCCATGAATCAAAGCCACTAAGTATAGTTTTAGAGATGGTAGGACATAGTTACCTTCCCTAGAAAAATACTCCAAATGCAGGCACACCCAGTGGCCAGTAGAAAAATGCTCAAGTAAATAGTAGTTCTAACCTGTATATTTCACTCTTCCTACTGAGCTATTAAAGGGGTGGAAATCCACTATAGCTATAATCTTATTTTCCTCTTTTCTATTTTCGACCTCCCACATGCTTAGTGTTCAGTTCTGCTTACCAAGTGCTTTGAATCTCCCGTAGCACCTCATGTACTACTTCCACAATGGCTGATGGTTTTCAGATAACATGATTCAAACCCATAAGAAACATCTGTAAATATATGACATTATGTATATATATATATACATATGTATAGATATATATATGTATATATATCTGTACATATACACATATATACACACATATATATTCATATATATGTGTGTATATATGTATATATATATATATGTGTATATATATGCTAGATTAATCGCTAAAATGGGCAGAGTAGGGCTGGGAAGGTGGCTCAGTGGTAGGGTGCTTATCTTGCATGCATGAGGCCCTGACTTTGATTCTTCAGCATCACATAAGCAGAAAAAGCTGGAAATGGCGCTGTGGTTAAAGTAGTAGAGTGCTAGCCTTTAGCTGAAGAGCTGAGGGACAATGCCCAGGCCCAGAGTTCAGGCCCCATGACTGACCAAAAACAAAAACAAAAAAGGTAGAGTAATGGAGAATCAAAAACCTTTTTTTTCTTCTAATATTGATTTTACTTTCGTTGAGGTTGTATGAGTAAAAACATCTGTAATGTGGCTTATATCACATTTCATTTCTTGGGTGCAATATCTCAGGCCATTTGTATTAGTTTTTTAGAGATTGTTTAAGGATATACAGGGTATGCAGTATCAGCATTAGGTTGGAGGAAATAAAGCAAGATAGGAGATATCTGTGATTTTATCTACTTAGAAAATTAATGTTAAACTGCTTTTAATCTGCCTTTCTTAAAACTTCTGATATAACTTAAAAATTCCCTTTTATTAGATCCTCAGTTATTTTCTAAAAGTTTTCATCATTTGAAGGTTTAAAAACTACAACTTTATTGAACTTAAAGGGCATCTGAAAACTTGTTAACACTGTCTTACTACAACAGAAATCTATAGCAGTATTAAAAAAAATTGAACTCTGCATAGATCAGCCTCTGAATTTACCTCTTAATCACAAAAGCTGTGGGGCTCTTAAAATCATATTTAAAATGCAAGCTGCTGATGAAAAATAAATAATTCCCCATTGCATTTCTGATGCACATTTACATCCACTTTTTCATACTCTTATCTGCTTGGAGGCCACGATTGAAAATTACTGAATTTAAAATGCTGGAAGATTCAGAAGATATTTTTCTCATTAGAGTGATTTTTGATAATACTAGGAATGACTAAAAATTTCTGTTCATAAGACAAATGTATTACCAATTTTATGTTCGTAACACATCTTTGAATTAGTGTTTTTAATCTCCATTTTAGAGAAGAAGTGATTGAGTCCTACAAAGCTAGGAAGTTGTCCAAGGTCATGTGGTTGGAAATGCAATAGAATTCAGATTCAAGCTTGTATTTTTCTGGTGAGCACTGCTTTTTATTTTTATTTTACATGTAAGAGAAACATACAGAGACACACATTACTAAAAGCTTATTGGAAGATTCAGACAAGAGATAAACGTGTTTTCAGTTTAGCCATTTCTTTGAGAACCATCTGAGACTTTTTGCTTTGAAATGCAATTTAACTGTGCATTACTTTGAGTAAGGTGAAGTACAGTTTTATTAGTGGAGTGTTATTGAGGCTAATGATTTTATGGAACAATATTATTTTAAAAAGCAATATACTATTTAATGTGTGGTATTTACTTCAGTCATAAAAGAAAATTCAAACATCTGGAATAATTTTAAAGCAATAGAACATTTGTGCACAGAAGGATGTTTCTTCCTTATATCTTACAAGACATAGCATATAATTTGAAAAGGTATATGAAAGGTTTTATATTTATACATAGTTTTTTTATTTCATTGAGCACATAAACAAAAATCTAACTATTAAAAGGAGAAATTAATGGAAAGTTATTTGTGGTGAAATTTTACTATTTCTTCAAGTACGTCATTATTGGTACTTTATTACAGTGGTTTTTTTGTTTAAAGAAAACTTAGAAACTTTGCTTATTCACCACCATATAGCTTTACCTGACTATTTTGCTGTTTCTTTGGAACTAACAGTGAAGAAATGAGCAACAAATGTGTAGTATCTCAAGAAACTATATACTAAGGTTTAAGCACTAGGATATTGACATTTTGATACGAACTTTCTTTCAAATATAAATTTATCAGAGTAGGTGATAGTTTATTTTAAAGATGTAATAATAATATGAGAGTTAAAGAGTCAGAACATTTATGATCTGGAAAGAACCTTGCAAATGAGGCTGAGGCAAGAGGTTTGTGAGTTTGAAGGTAACCTGGCTGGCATAGTTAAGACACTATCTTAACAACAACAATAACAACAACAACAACAATTTTTTTGGGGGGGAGGGTCCGGTCATGGGGCCTGAACTCTGGGCCTGGGCGCTGTCCTTCAGCTCTTCAGCTCAAGGTTAGCGCTCTACCACTTGAGACACAGCACCACTTCCGGCTTTTTTTCTTTTTTGCTTATGTGGTGCTGGGGAATCGAACCCAGGGCCTCATGCATGGAAGGCAAGCGCTCTACCACTAAGCCACCTTCCCAGCCCCAATTCAGATATGATTTTATGTGACTAATCCTAGCTACATAGTTTACATAGGTAGGAGAATTGTAGCCTGAATATGGTCTCAGGAAACAAATGTGAGACCCTATCAACAAATATCCTAAATGACTCCTTCCACCCTTCCCCACTCTGCTTCCATTGTATGTCTGTATATATACACACACATGAATTTTTTCAAAAATTATATTGGATATTTTAAAAATATAAATCTTTTGGTTGATTCTGAAGGTTTGAACAGGCCAATGAGTATTCTCATCATCGAGGCATTCTGTGGGGGCTCCCATAAACAGCTGGTAGATCTGCTCCAAGAAGAATTGGAAGACTGTGCCGTTTATACCCTCCCTGCAAAGAAATGGCATTGGAGAGCACGGACAGCAGCTTTATACTTCTCTCAGAATGTTCCTATCAGTGAGCATTACAGGTAATGAAAACTCAAGATGTATTTTCAGCTTCTTTGTACTGTACTACTTGCAGTTATGATGTTGCTTTTCTATTCATGTTTGTGAGAATTTCTTCATCTATGGAACTGATTGGAGACTATAGTGGATACTTCTTCAGACAGCAAAGCATTGGAGTATACTTACATGCTCAGAACATCCACCTCATAGGAAAGTGGCCCCCTTGAGAACTTATCAGTTTTTTCACTCTTGGTTTGTGATTTTATTCTAGGCATGTTTGTGGCTGTGGTAGACTTTTTTTTCTTGACATGAATGAGACATCTTATGTGCATAGGAAATGTTGTTGTTGTTGTTGTTGAAGTTAGCTCCCTAATCTCTTGTGCTTTTTATTGTGAGTACACTGTTTTTTTGAAATTATATTTATGTTGTCTTTGTGCCATAGTTGATAAGTTGGATATAACCAGGAATTTAATGACTATTGAGGTAGAGATAGATATAGCAATTCAAACACCACGAGAGAATGAAAAATGAAGACATTGATTTTGAATTTGACAAACTGATGCTAGCATACTAGAACTATTAACTTCCACCTCCCCTCCCTTTCCCCTTTTTCTCCTCCCTTCTCCTTCCCTCCCATCCTCCTTTCCTCCTTGCTCTCTCCCTCCCCTTTCTCCCTCCCCTTTCTCCCTCCCCTTTCTCCCTCCCCTTTCTCCCTCCCCTTTCTCCCTCCCTGCCTGCCTGCCTGCCTGCCTACCTTCCTGCCTACCTTCCTTCCTTCCTTCCTTCCTTCCTTCCTTCCTTCCTTCCTTCCTTCCTTCCTTCCTTCCTTCCTTCCTTCCTTCCTTCCTTCCTTCCTTCCTTCCTTCCTTCCTTCCTTCCTTCCTTCCTTCCTTCCTTCCTTCCTCTTCCCCTTTCCCTTTCCCTTTCCCTTTCCCTTCCCTTTCCCCTTCCCCTTCTCCTTCCCCTTCCCCTCTCCTCAGAGTCTCATTATGTTGCCCAGGCTGCCATGGAACTCATGATCCTCTGAATACCGATTTATTAAAAACTACTGACGATTTTTTGTTTTATTTATTTGTTTTTCCCCTACCATCCCTTCCTACCCCCCTCCCCAAATCCTCCCTCCCTGCCCCAACTTGTAAAGTTTGTTTTCAACATAGTGTCTTGTACATCTCATTGTTACAATGGGTCAATCTGTATCCTTCTTTCATCATTTTGTTATTTCCTTTCCCCTCCCCAAATTAGAAAAATGTATATACAAGATGCAGGGCACTGGAAACAAGTACAGTGAAACAGCAGTTATATCATGGGGGAAGAACATACAAAAGGAACAAAGAAAATCACATAGTACATTGTAAGTACATTAAAACAACATCAAGAAACAAAGGAGGAGTCAACAATGCTTGATAAGAAATATACTCATTACCTTGCTCATGTAACTGTAACCTCTCTGTACAGTATTTTCACAATACAAAACATAAAAGAAAAAAAAACAACAGCAATAAAGATAAAACCTCTTGTGTCCCTATCTTTGGGTTCATTTTGCTTAGCATCATCTTGTATGGTCATATGTACATAGCTTTTGACCTTTCTGCTTGTCCTAGACATATACTAGTTATTGCAAATAAGGGAAACCATGGGACCTATGCTTCTTTGGGCCTGGCTTACTTCACTTAATATAATTTTTTCCAGGTCTTTCCATTTCCTAACAAATGGGGTGGTGTCATTCTTTCTGATGGAAGCATAGAATTCCTTTATAGGTAATATATATATATATATATATATATATATATAATATAAATATATTTTTTTGATCCATTCATCTACTTAGGGACATCTGAATTGGTTCCATATCTTAGATATGGTGAGTAATGCTGTGTTAAACATAGTTGTGCTGGTAGGTTTAGTATGGCCTTATTTGTGTAAATGCCTAAAAGTGCGATTGTTGGGTCATAGAGGAGCTGTATATGTAGTCTTTTGAGGAACCTCCATACTGCTTTCCAAAGTGGTTGAACAAGTTTACACTCCCACTAATAATGCCATAGGGAAAAACTCCTATTAAAAAGAGTCATATTGAACACACTACATCAGTGGTGAAGAAACAAGGATAACTTTGGGGAAGCAGGGAATAGTTGAAATGGAATCTCTGAATATTTCTATCTCCTTCAGTCATCAGTGATTCCTTATGTTTCCCAATTATTAAATAGTGGCAGACTATCCTATGGTGGTTTACATATTGGATACTTTGCCAGGCTGGGTTCCTTTGTGTAGGATTGTGTTGGTTTACATAGGAGTGAGAGGTGCCAGGCAGATAGTGAATGGAGTTAGAGTATTCAGGTTAGAAGAAGGGCCTGCTGCAAGTTGCACTGTATACCTTGGTTCTAGTTGCCCTGTTCATTTGCTAAAATGAACCAGCCATAAGAGTACAGCAGTATAGATTACTGTTCCTAGCAGTCATTTGGGAGACATTCAGAGAATAATCCATTTTGTGTATGAAAATCATGTATTGTTGCTGATAATTTAAAGTGTCTGGTGGAATAGCAGCATTCAAGTTGCATTACTTTGGATTTTAAAAGTAAGATGCTATTTAGTGCATATTGTTTGCATAATTCAATATTTTATATACTGATAGCACTAAGTGAATATTGTTGATTCACTAGTAGTAGGAGAAATTTCAATGAGTGTTGATAGAAATTTCAATGAGTGTTGATAGAAAAGTTGCAAAGGTATGCCTTTTGCTGTATTCAGATCTCACTGTTTATGCTGTTTTCCCATCTTGTTTGTGTTTTTACATCACCAATTGTATTATACTACTTCAGGCCAAGTAATACATCTAAGTTTATGGCACATTTCACTTTGACATTCCCATTCAATGTAATAAATTTCTACAGTGATTTGGGACTATATCTGCTTGATTTTATTTTGATTATGAAGTTCTTGTGAATTAAATTATTGTATTACAGATATCCAGTTTTGTCATTGCTAGTCATAACTTAGTGCCTAATAGTGGTATCTGTCATCTTCCAAGCCCAGCCATTTAGTCTGCTCAGTTAACTGTAATAATCTATTCATGCATCACTCATACATACCTCACCAGTACAATATATACTTATATGTGACCAAAGATAACTTACCTACTCTACCAAATAACCCTTTGAATACTTACAAAAAAAAAATAATAGCAGTTTCAAAACCTAAGCTAAGTTGAAGAATGTGCTTACTCAGTTCAAGACTGAAGTGCAAGAATTACTTTTTAATCACACCAGTTAATCTGATCTCTTTTTTAAAATTATTTTTCTCTTTCATTATTAAAAAAATTTATTGTGAAAATACCATAAAGAGGGATTACAATTACATGGGCAAGGTAATGAGTACATTTCTTATCAAGCATTGTTGCCTCCTCCTTTGTTTCCCATCCTCTTTGAGACTTTAAAGCTATAAGAGGATTTCATTTTCCCTTTACTTCTTTTTATATATCTTTTTATATATACCGATACATAAATCATAAAAATTAATAACTATAAAATGATTAAGCACCAATATTACCTACTATGGAAAACAGCATCAAAAACGATATTACTTGTATAGGACAAGTAAGATTATGTCTGATTGTGAGAAAAACCCTGACTGTAGGTATGTATGTATTTTTCTTAGCTTCTGTACAGGTAATTGTTATTTTCATAAGTTTCTTGGAAATATTTTACTATGAAAACAACAAATACCACAGTCTAAATAATCAGTTTGATTCACTTTTATCTTGACAGCTAAAAAGAATACACCATGAATCACACTAGGGCTATTCATTTTTGTTACAAAAGTTCAACAAATTATTTTTCTCATAACTACTTGGTAATTATTGTAATTCATAGGTCACATTAAAAGTTGGCTTCTGGAAATTTCACAAAATTTAGAGAAAGTTTTTGATGAAAGGTTTTAAATTTTATGTTCTGAAATGAGTCATTTGTCCCAGGACCAAGGATTTCTACTTTATTAGAATGCCTTAGAGTAGGCATGAAGGATGTATTTTTCATTTTTCTTCCTGGAATATCTTTTCTGAGATGAAAGAATGACTGTTAAAGTCACTTTTCACTTCAGATGCTTGTATGTTTTGCTGTATGTGAAGTATTATGGCAGTTACTCATAGTTGCCCTTACAACATCTACTCTTCTTGTTATCTTTTGGGTAGCCCCCGTGAGCTAAGCATCATCTCATTCTCTTTTGCAAGATTGCCTAAATGTTCCTTGTGAGAGTTAGTCCCAAGTTATGGCAAATTAGGGTGTTTTTAAAAAAAGTTTTTGTTTTTGTTTTTTTTAACAATGCTTGAGTACCTACCTCCTCCTGAGAGTAAAGCATAACGGATCCAGATTGTTTGTGGTGATCCCATTCTCTTATGCAAAATTTCCTCAACATTCCCTGTAAGTAAAGTTCATCAATCCCCAAATCATGGCAAATTAGTGTTAGGGGGATAACCTCTCATCAGACCTCTTATACTGTTTTCAGATAAGTGTTACTGTTAATTTTAAGTTTTACTTTTGGAAGGAGAGAACTAACTCTCCTTTTCTTAACCATGAATTACAACTGTAAGGATAAAAGCCACTAATGGCTGTGCTAGACTTCTGTTTTGCACAATATAAATACCTCACATGAATAATCCTTCTGTCTCTAAAACATCTAGAAATGCTTTGAAAAACCCCAATAATTTCATTTTAGCCTTTTTTTTTTTTTTTAGCAAAGATCAAGAAAATTGTAAGGCCCCAACTGAGAAAGGATCAGGAAAATAGAATGGTTTTTGGCTGTGAATCAGTGGTTTCTGATTTTTATAAAAGGAATTTGTTAAATAAATTATTACATTTGTGAAAAGAAATGTAGTAGATTCCTAACCTAAAGCAGAAAATTCTTCTTTTAATTGAGAGGGTAGTTTTGAAAATTCCATTAGTGTGGTTTGGTCTATTTTTTTTTTAATTGTGAAAATACTGTACAGAGGAGTTACAAATACATGGGCAAGATAGTGAGTACATTTCTTATC